GATTTGTCCAACTGACAGTGACTATGTTTTCCAGCTTTAACCACAGAAGTAAATAACATACAGTATTTGGCTTAAGTATAAGGCTTCAAATCTTCATTAACCATTTTTCTGACCATGAGAGTGCAGGCTGAACGCATGCTGCACAAACTGAAACCCCATGAGGCAAATTTGTGTGGGCTCTATAAATAAAAATTGATTCTGGGAGTCAACCATAAAGATCGGCAAACCAAAACAATTAGGGTTAGGGTTGATGCAGTAGAGGCTGCAAAGTTGGTTATTGATTCTCAGTGGGATCGGAACCAACAGGCCTTTCACATTACAGCAGGGTTTTTTTCATTCAGTGTCAAAGATATAATTTAATGGAGCATAAAGAAGTATTTTACTGTGGTAAAGATGATCTTTTCATAAAACTGGGCTGTCTATGCAGCAGGAAGACGCAAATACTTTTGAAATTGTTGCCAGAAAAAACAGAAAGGGCTGTGACATTCACTTTGGCTCAAGAGGTAGAAAGCCTACAACTACCAAAATGCACTGCGCCACACAGGACCAATAAGCGCTCGCGCTGGTGTGATGTAATGCACGCTTGTCCGTTTTTCTAAAGAAAACAATATGGCGGCCAGCTGCTAACAAACAATCTCTAATCACAGGTAAACAGTACACTAAAATATATTTCTCAAAACATTTGAGGTGAGAAATGGGCGAAGTAGTAACTGAATCTTGGTGCATAATTTATCAGCACTGCTTAATTTAATCGTTTGATCTCAGTTTTTTCAGCCTCTGTTTTTACAGTGCGGCACCCACCTCTTCCGATAGGGCTGTAACAGCCAAACAGTGACATGTTTTGAGCTGAGAGATGAGCAGGGAGATCCTGGTGCTGATAAGATTGGGGGAAGTTCATTTACACATGCTACCCACATTGTTATTTTTCAAAGCTGGTTGAAAATCAGTAAAGTGTGCCTTTATGTGACATTAACATGTCTCATTTGTTTTTTTGTTTCATTATTTCAATTTAAATCATTTTGTAAAATAATGTAGAAATGTATACCAATTAAATTCCTAAGGTATTATGTTTAACATAAAGATTCAGTATAACCCGACATAAGATTTACTTTGTGCTCCTGTATAAAACTAACTCTTAGTGGGGGGGTGGACTCTCAGATTGTCTCTGTAAGTTTAAACTAACGAGGAGAAATACAGGTCCAGGCAGGAGTTTGAGAAAAAAGAAAGCCTTTTGAAATACTACAGAACTTACCCACCAGCCAATTAGCTTTTTGTGAAGCAAGGGGACAAATTAGGACAAATAGTTATCATTTTCTCTTTTAGGACAAAAACAGATGAATTCATTACCTTTTGAAGCTTGATTTACAAAAACAGACACTTGGTTGCTTCTTTAAAAAAAGAGGAATAAAAACTCAAAGGAGAAGAACTCTTCAAATAGAAGAGCTGCATTATATTTCATGCATTATGCATGATTTTCTATCAAATGAGATTTAAACAAATGCCACCTGAAACACTGACTTGTTTGATTTTTTTATGTCTGAATGGTGATGCATGTTCATCAGACAAGTAGCCAGATGGTAGCAATGAGTTAGAGAGGAACGTCCCGCTGATGATTTGTTGTGATGCAAATTGACCTTCAACTTTTTTTTTTTTTTTGTCTTTCTCTGGTTTTGGGGAGGGGTGTTAGGATAATTTCTACCGTGAAATCATTTCTACTGTAGAGTGAAACATCCATCATTTATGCTGAAGTAATAGTGAGCTGTTGTGGCCTGCAGACTCTGCAACAGCCTCCCTTTTTGACAATATGTTGGTCAAAATAATAGATTTCCAAACAGTGTCTGAAAATCTGTTCATACTGACGGGGCTCTCAGCGCGCGTGTGTGTTTTCCTAAACTTACAGCAACTATATGCAAGTAATAGTGTCAAATAATCTTTTAGCTTATGTAAAAGTTTGAGATCAAATAACAGAAAAGGAGAAAGATATAAAGAAAGTTAGCTTCTTTGGGTAGCCTAATTACCGACTGAATATCAGCCAACATCACTGCAGTCTAGTATCATCTCTTATTAGGCTTTACATCAGTCTATTTACAGTGTATTATGTAGGCACTGTAAATGTCTCCGTGGATTCAAATGACAGTGCTCAAAGAGAACTCATTCATCCTTTCATCCTCCTCAAGATCTATAGCCCCCCACGCTCTCCAGCTCCCGAAAGCACGGCTCATTCATTTTTCAGACTCTTGGTTGGTCGGCTGATTCCAGCTCTCTGAACTCAAATGACCTGAACCTCATGTGTCAGCTGGAGTGCGTCAATGAGCACAGGATACCAGCTGATGCCAGTTCAGATGTTTTGCTTTGCTCTTTATTAAAATTAAGACACTAAAAGGGGTTTGAAAAGTTGCCAAATTGAGAGACAACAGTGAATAGCTCAATTTTGATCTGGCTGTGGTACTTTGATCTCAACCCTGTCTCCTAGAAATTATATTTATATACTACTACTATATTACATTTCAAAGGAAACATAATTGCTGCTTTAATTATGTTCACCAGCAAAGGTTTCTATTCAGTGAAGTGCTACAATTTTGTATCAAAGAAACGAGTGAATGTCGGGCATATTAAAACACATTTGACACTAGAGACTGAGGTTTGTCTAGTGTGTCCTACATGTAATTACATTTAGGCATAACACTTAAGTCACAGTTAGGGAATTATTGTAGTCTGGCTATACACTCACTGGCCACTTAACTGGGTACACATTTTAGGGTATACCTTTTATATTTAATTTTATATATTATAAATATTCTTTAAAGATTCTGGTCCACGTTGACATGATAGCATCACGCAAGTCCTGAAGATGTTGCCTGCTGCACATTGATCTCCCAGTCCCCAAAATCCAAAAGGTGTGCTAGTGGATTGAAATCTGGTGACTGTGGAGGCCATTGGAGTTCACTGAGCTTGTCGTCATGTTGGTGGAACCAGCTTCAGATGACATATGCTTTGTGACATGGCAGTTATCCTGCTGGAAGTAGCCATTAGATGATAAGTACTGTGGCCATTAAGGTATGCACATGGTCAGCAACAATCCTCAGGTAGCCTGAAATATTTTAATGATATTTAATTGGTATTATGTGGCTTACTATGTGCCAAAAAATACTCCCCGCACACCATTACAACACCACCAGCCTGAACCATGGACAAATTGAGATTTGTCAAACCAGGTGACTTGTTAAAAATCTTCTACTGTCCAGTTTTGTTTAGTCCATGCTGACTGCAGCCTTGGTTTCCTGTTCTTAGCTGGCAGGAACCTGCTCTGGTCTTCTGCTGCCGTAGCCCATCTACCTCAAGCTTCAACGTGTTGTGCATTCACAAGTGTTCCTCTGCATTCTCGCAAAGCGTAGCTATTTGAGTTACTGTTGCCTTTCTGTCAGCTTTAACTGGTCCGGCTATTCTCCTTTGACCTCTCTCATTAACAGGCGCCCACAGAGCTGCCGCTCACACTATGTTGTTTTTCACACCATTCTCTGTAAACTCTAGAGACTGTTGCCCACGAAAATCCCAGGAGCTCAGCAGTGTGTAAGATACTCAAACCAGCCTTCTGGCCCCAACAGTCATTCAACTGTCAAAGTCACATTTCTTCTCCATTCTGATGTTTGCCTTAAACAGCTGAACCTTGTGACCTTGTTTGCATGCTCTCATGCATTGAGCTGCTGCCACATTATTAGCACATGAAGTATTTGCATTAATAAGCAGGTGTATCTAATGAAGTGGTTAACACAATGCATGCATGTCCTGTCCTAAGGTCAGCGGCAAATGTTTTAACCAAGACAACAATCTTTCCCCAACCTTACACAAGTGTTTGGGGTGCAGAAACATAACATTAATAATTGATATTGGTAGATTCTGTACTTCAAGAGCAGCAATTGTAGGAAAAACAAATAAATGCAATTGTTCAAAATACTATTTAAGATTTGGTTAAAACATCAAGCTAATTCATACTGTATCTGATGTATTTTCATTGTATCACTGTTAAGTGTCTAAGCAAGTTTTCAGAACATGTTTGGCTTTTGTTTGTTTGTTTTTTTTAATGTAGAACTCTGCAGAAATAACTCAATGCACTCTACAGGTGCATTACATGAAAAGTGTTTGGTAGACTGAGATATTTCTTTTATGAAATTGAAGAGGAATTGAATACGTTTTGAATTGTGCCACAAAACACCTAAGGCAGACTATCAGTGTTAGTCCTAAAACTGTAACATACAGATTCCAAAACCATGTTTTCTTTCAATATAGATTCTGATATCTGGACCTGCTTATTGGCTAATAATGAGTACCAATTTGATACCATGATGTTGCCTTAAAAAATAAAGAAAGAAATGAAAGCTATATACTACTAGCCCTGTTTGGATGTTGGTGTTGTTGTATGGCATGGCTCAGGTTAAAACACTTATAAAACATGAAGACATACATATAGCACAGAGGATGGATGCTGTACATGCTGCCTTTTCATTGGTGGGACTTTTTAGTGTAAAATATTGCCATATTGCTGATGGCTAATGTCATACTATTTACCGAGAATCAACTTAACTTCACTGCTCTGCAACAGAAGTTGCTGTGAAGCTACTTTAAAGTTTACTAGTAGATTAGGTGGTGTCAGATCAGGGTATAGATTTGCATACTCAAGGGGTGCTCACTTGGTAGAGCACCCCTTGGGTTCAATAGCAACCTACAGCTCTTTGCTGCATGTCGTCCCCCTTCTCTTTCCCCCTTTCACGCTAACAACTGTCCTATCAATTAAAGGCAAAAAAGTCCTAAAAAAAAATCTAAAGGGGGGGGGGGGGATTTGCGTACTTGCCAATACCCAATCAAGCATTTTTAAGCAGTACCAGAGGGACTTCCGATACTTGTATCCATGTCACAACAACTATACAGGTAATGGAACGTAATTATGGCTGATTTCAATACATTTTAAAATGTTTTTTGTCTGTCTTTCTCTTCTCCTTTAGATGGCCCCCTGGGACCTCGTGGTCTAGTGGAAGCTACAGAGATGTGCACACAGGAATGCCTAGTCCTGGGACATTCAGACAACTGCTGGATGCCCCCGACGTTAGGAACATACCAGCAGCCCAAATCACCAGTGTCTAGCTTTGGGTCTCAGAGGGAGTGGGGTCCCAAGGAAAAACTTCTCAATGGACATACTCTGACCAGAACCTGGAAAAATGAGAGTGGGCGGTCAGAGCATTTTGGTGACAGGAAGCAGTTTGGGAGCGGAGAGGGACACTTCACCAGCAGTGGCATGGCTGATATTCCACTGGTGAGTCTGAAGTCCTGCCAGCCAGCCTCCTGCCCAGACAGCCCAAAGGACCAGCAGCTATAAGACGGACTTTGCTTCTGTGCTGTGAGATGTCCACCTGAGCTCCCTTCCTCTTTTATCGTTTTCTTTCTAGTTTCATCTCTTCCCACTTAAGTTGATGCTTCTGCAGTGTGATAGCCACATGTACTATGTACTATAGTGCTTATGCTGTGTTCTCTACGATTCAGCTTTACTATGGCTCTAGAGGAACCCTCTTTTTTTTTTTTTTTTTAATGAACCTCCATGGATTTCTTCAACGTAACATTTTCTGTCCACTTCATGTGTGATTTGGACAAGTGGAGGAAGGACACGCGTAAAATGGAGAAAACAAATTACAAGAAGAAAAAAAAAAAAAAAAAAAAAAAAACTACCATGGCTGACCAGTATATACAAATATTCGTGGTGTGGTTGTTATTGAGTTGTTCAGGACTATATTAATCAACACAATCAAAGAAAATGGAATTACATTTCAGAAAGTGTTGTTCTAATAACACTGTTAGTGGACACTTGTTTATTCTGTTATCGTCTGTGTGTTTGTAAATAAGACTTATTAACCACTATCATGTACCCGTAATAACCACAGTGAATAGGACAGTTTTTGGCTGTTGTCGTCATAATGGCTTGTCATCGGGATTTGGGATTTCAGCTGGACACAGATCTATAATGTGGCATAATGTACAACGAGAAAACATTAACCTAATTATTTAAAAACCCTATGGTTGATTTTGAAACTAATTTCCATACCGTAATATTCTCAATGTTGCCCATATTTCATAATAATTTTTTTCAAGTACGGAAAAAAACCCACCGGCAAACCTTTTTTTAAAAAAGAAAAAAAACTTTGTATGAAGGATGTCAGTGCTCAATATGTGCATTATAAAAATGAAAAGCTCTGAAAGCACTCCTCTATAAACTGATTTTGAAAGTGTTCAGTACAATTAAATAGCAATATATTTGTAAATGGCTAAATGTTTTATCTAACGTTGATCTTATTACTGTATAGATTTTATTCAAATTGTGATTTAACTGAGTGCAATCCCTCAGTAGTACCTGCAATTATTTGACATATGTATATATATTATTTCCACACGGCCTATTATTTTCATACATAAGAAAACACAGGTTAAGATAACACTTTTAATCACCGTGCCTTCATGATGTTTCTTCAAACACTGAATTGTGCTTATTTAAATGATGAGAACATGTTGGCTACAAAGACTACCCTGTCTGATAATCAAATGCCTTATGCATTGAATGTTTGCCAAATTTAGAGACATAATCACACAGATATTAAAGTACAAAATTGAGTCGTTGGTACTGAAGAAAAACACAAAGGCATGTGCAGATACTGGGTCAAAGATCATCTGTCATTCCACTGTCTGAAAAAGTTTGTTTTATTCCACAGCATGGAAGGCAAATTACACAATGGAATAGCATGCTAAAAGATATAGCTTTTAAAAATTACCTTGTTCATTTTTGTGTCATTTTATTTTGTTGGAATAGAGTTGATTTGTGCATTAAGGAGACATTCAGTTTGTAAAGCACTTTCATATTTATGTCACAATATAAAGAAGTTAAGTGGGATGGAGTGATTTGCTTATCGCAGTATGTTTGTCAGTTGTGAGGGTGTTTGACATCACAGATACTGAAACAGTTAATCCTTGTTACTACTCTACAGGTATACAGCTACTGCAATAAATGTTTTAATTATGTGTATGCTTAATTTGTGTGCAGGATGATCACATCAGGAATTCTGTGTCTGTTTTGTGGAGACGTTTGCGCACACACACAAACCAATTTTCCAAAACATTTGGTTCAAAATCTTGTCATAAAAGTAGTAATTTATTTCTAGAGCACAGCAAACTAAAGAGGTACCTCTGAGTTTTCCTAATTCTTAGAGTAATTTTCCTCGCTTTAAAACAGCCAGATTGTTCTACTTACAAGATAGTCATTGAAATAGACCCATATCCTTCACCATTACATGACCACTGCATTTACTGCTTACATATTTTGCCTCGAAAATAAGGATGAGGCTATTTTATTTGATCAAAAAGGGACAAGATGTTTTAAAAACATCTTTAACAAGAGTTTTTCAGCCTCAGGCTAATACTCCAGTTTACATATTGTGTCCTTATTTGAAGTTTAAAGCTCCCTTTAAACATTACGTCCAGGGCCACTGTGGCCTAAAAATCCTCTAGTACACTAACAGCGCAAAACCCTGAAAGAGGCAATTCTGGGAAGGTGAAATCCTGGGGTTGCCATGATAAAGCAGCGTTGAGCCATTCAAAGAAGGCTCTAATCTACTGGTGAGTCTTGTTTCAAAGCTTAATCATAGGTTATAAGCTTTGATAACTTGCTGAAATAATACAATTTTAAATACAGGGTGAAGAGGTCACAGATGTGGACAATGAAGGTGAACATCTACTCTTCTCCAAACTGGTTGAAGAGACAATTTAGGTATGAATGCCCAGTGGAGGCACAGCAGGCTGACTGAGGGGAGGCTGCGAGACCCAGGGTATCCTGAGGGAAAGTCCCAATGTGACTGTTACACTGTAGGTAGCAGTAGAGGAGCTTCATTTGAAAAGGTGGTCACACCAACATTCTCTTCCTCAAAGAAGCTATTCACTGCTGGAGGGATGGTCTTTTCATGGAACTGGGCTGTCCAGGCAGTAGAAAGACGCAAGTACTTTTGAAATTGGTGCTACATGAGCGAAAATAGAGGGAGAAGTGTTGTGGGCATTCCCCTTTGCTCAAGAGGTAGAAAACCTAATCCTACCACACTGCACTGCACCATACAGGCCCAATAAATGCTCCCGCTGGTGGGTGATGTAATCTGAGCTTGGCAGTTTTAATACAGGAAACAATATGAAGCTGGCTGGTTACAAACGATCTGGAATTACAGCTAAATGGTACACTAAAATATGTTTCTGAAAACATTTAAGGCGAGAAATAGGCAATGCAGTAGCAGAATGTTGTACATATTTGATCAGCACTGCCAAGTTTACAATTTGATCTCATTTTCTTTCAGACTCCACTTTTATAATACTTGAAACAGTGTGAACAGGAAGTAGGCACCGCAGATTCTTGTATTACAGCCTAACAGTGCACTGAAATATGTTTCTGAAGACCTTTTAGGCAAGAAATATGCAATACAGTGACAGAATCTTGGTTTATATTTGATCAGCACTGCCTAGGTTTACAGTTCTGAGTTTGGTTTAAGTTTCAGAGAGAAAGAGAGGGGCAGCTTTCTCTCTCAATCCACTTCTACACAGGGTAGCAGTCATATGAAAATGCAAAAGCACAATCTGTAGTTCAAACAACTAAAAACAAAACAGGCATAGAGCCAATGAAAAATCCACTGGGAAAGTGAGCTGAGAGATGAGTGGGAAGATGGGCGCGGGTAAGATGGAGGGATGTGTACCATGACCACCATTTACACATACTACAATATATTGTTATGATACACAGCTGGTTGAAAATCGGCAAAGTATCCCCTTAAAGCCATTAACTGTCTGAAATCACTCTGTCGTTTACTCATTCACATGGTAGTTCACTCTATAGTGAGCTGAATTTTGCACGACTGTTGAGCAGAAAGCAGTGTGCATCCCAAAGATATAACTTTTTTTTTTTTTTTTTAACAATGTGAGTATTTTTGACAACACAAGATAGTGAAAAAATTCACTCAAAATTTGACCAGACTGTAAATTTTGTGCACCATTTAGTAAATATGTTTTTTTGTTTTTTTTTGGACAGTGCAATATTCAAAGTTAGGCAAAAAAAAAAACATCCTTTGGTTTTATTTTTTAAAGTTTAGCACTCATAAAACAGCTTAAGTTCTTCCAAAGAACCAATTAACTGTCATCAGATCCTGATTAACATGTTAAATGCTGACTGGTCCACTGAAGTACATGACATCATCTCTGTTTTCTAGTGGAGCCCCGACCCTTTCAAGTGTGACTTCCTGGAAAATGATATTAATTAAACAGAAATATCTGTTCTAACTTTTTCAGCAAACAGGAGTTGGTAATCTAGGATCACATGACTCAGAGGAAGCAGCTGGTTGAGAAAATTCTTAAATGAATGTCTTTAATCATCTATCCTTGTACATCAAATGTCTGCTACTACAAAGCCAGTCCCACTGGCATTAATACATATATACTTCCCATAGCAAAGTGTCACACATGACAGTACGTTAACAGTCATCACAGAGTTGGATCTGCCAAGTGTTCAACATCATTCTTCCAAAGATGTCTGGATGCAACTCCAGTGTTGTGATCATCAACTTACAGGCAATCAGCAATAAATTTGCATGCTACCACTGGCCGGTAATGAAGGGCCATGCACCCGCCATCACTGGTGAAGTAATTATATTTTCTGTATTCTTTTAGGTTTCTCTTTCTCACTGTAACCTCATTTGATATATTTATCAGCTGTCGCCCAATGGACCTGCTTAAATTCTTATTTGCTATGCTAGCTATCGACTTGGGCAAGAATAGTTTCTGAGAAGCTTCAAAGCTAATTGCCTTGGAAGTGTGAGGGGAAGTAAATTAGTGTCACGCCACAACCAAGAAAAAAGGTTCCCAATCGCATTTCCTTTTTATATGGCTTTGAGAATATTTTTCTCAGGGAAGCCACCGTGCACAAAGTGGAACAGAGTGAATGTTCAGCGGGGAATCAGTCACAGAGAAGGCATGCACTTCAGACAGAAGAAGAGACAACTCTCCACAAAGATACAGTCGACAGAAACGGCACCATCTTCATATTTTGAAGGCCATATTTGAAGATAATACGAGGCACAAATTAATGTTAGTCTGCTCCAAGACTTCAGTTAGTTCCATTTCATCTAATGAATGTGGGAGAATTCAGTCTGGATCTCAACCAGTCCAACAGACCCTGTGGCCTTGTGAGCCTAAATATCTTCAGCCAGGAGGGATTCCTCTTTGGCTCACTGGAATAAGAGCTCTGTGGGAGACCGAGATCTAAAACCGGTTACACTTGAGTTTTAAAAAGACCGAGTTTCTCTGTAGATCGCAGTCAAAAGAAGGTAAGAGTTGTGCAGCCTAAAGCTATATAACCCAAGCTGCCTTCCTTGACCAGGTATTCCTCTCCTTCACTCAAATACAGTAGAAGATATCTGCACTGCTATACAGTATGACATGTAGCGCAGTTACACAAAGGAATTCAAAGGGTTTTAAAAGACACAAGGCAATTTACAGAGATTCAAATACTGTGCAAAATATAAGTAGATTTCCACGAGAATAGCTAAATTATTTAGGCCCTGGTTAAGTCAAACCTTGATAATTGGTTTCATAACAATCTTTTTTAGATATAGCATTTTACAGCCACTTTGTCTGGAAATTAATTTTACAAAACTGTATCCAATGCCTGAGCCTATGTAGATTAAAAAAGAAGGCTGGAAAAATGATCAAGGGACTGAGTTGCAGACATCTACAAACTTGAATTCACATTAACAAATTATGACCACAGCAAAAAAAAAAAAAATAAATAAATAAATAAAATTGCAAAGTAAGGAGAGCACATACGTGTATTCTAGTTCTCACAATACTTATATACATGTTCTCAAAAAACTAGAATATTTTCACCTGTCTCACAAAGTCAGAAAAAAAGACGAATGGTTTGTTCTGGCCTTTAACACCAGAAAAATGTGCACTGCCATGGAAATCAGTTTAAAAATGGAAAATGAGAGTTGCAGTAATGTTCTTTAGATAGTGTATGGGTACATTGTCTCGTACAGAGCTGACAGCACAACCTTTACAGATGTCTGAGTGCATACAAATTAAGCCTCGCAGACATTGTCAGCGACGAAGCTAAGGTCTATGCGTCTTTGTCCAAAAGTCTGAACTTTATGGTCTCCATTTAAATAAACAGCAGAACAATATATTAATATTACACGCCCTGAGGAAGAGGAGGCTGACCAAATGAAACATGAAGGTCAGCGCAGAAGATGATGAGAGAACATGAACTGTCATGCAATACCCACAGCAATAACTATGACGGATTAAGAGTCTGTCAGGAGAAATTGTACCTTGGCCAGCTGCTCTTACTATGACCTTATACCACGAATCTGAATCATTTGAGTTATTACATTCCCAGAGGTCACTGTGAAATACTGTAGGTCAGAAGAGTTGAGTGAATACTGAAGGCTTCTTATAAAAAGGCTAAAAGAACTACTGTTTGTATCAGAAAATAATATCAACAAAAGTCTGCCGCTATGCTTGTGGCACCGTGAGGCTGTACTTGGGCACAGTGATTTTCATTTTCATCAATACATAAATGGCATGTGACATAACTGAAATGGTGACCATGAAGCAGCTACACATCTTTGTATTGTGAGCATGTTTGCATGTTAACATTAGCAGCCAGTCTGAGCTGCAAGCATGGCTGTAGACTCTTTGGGTGCTTTCACACCTGCCCTTTTTGGTTTGGTTCAATCCAACTCAAGTTCGTTTGCCCCCTAAATACGGTTTGTTTGGGCAGGTGTGAACACAGCAATCGCACTCGGGTGTGCACCAAAACAACTAGATATAGACCTTCTTGAAGAGGTGGTCTCAATCCGGTTACAAACAAACTCTGGTGCGGTTCGTTTGTGGTGAGAACGTGTTCTGACCTCGATCCAAACCAACTGCAGTCACATGACACATTGTTTGGGTTAAACATGAGCATGTTACAGTCCTGGAGGATTATTAATGTG